CTTTGTCAGCTCGCCCTATTATGTTGGAGCTTTGTCAGCTCGTCATGCTATGTTGGAGCTTTGTCAGCTCGTCACTCTTCATCGAAGCTCTGTGAGCTCGTCATGCTATGTTGGAGCTTTGTCAACTCGTCATGCTTTGTTGGAGCTCTATGAGCTCGTCATGCTATGTTGGAGCTCTGTCAGCTCGTCATGCTTTGTTGGAGCTCTGTCAGCTCGTCATGCTTTGTTGGAGCTTTGTCAGCTCGTCATGCTTTGTTAGAGCTCTGTGAGCTCGTCATTCTATGTTGGAGCTTTGTCAGCTCGTCATTCTTCATCGAAGCTCTGTGAGCTCGTCATGCTATGTTTGAGCTTTGTCAGCTCGTCATTCTTCATTGGAGCTTTGTCAGCACGTCATGCTGTGTTGGAGCTTTGTCAGCTCGTCATGCTTTGTTGGAGCTCTTTCAGCTCGTCATGCTGTGTTGGAGCTCTGCCAGCTCTTCATGCTTTGTTGGAGCTCTGTCAGCTCGTCATTCTTTTTGAAAGGCTCACCAAATAAAGATTTGGATCTTGCCTAACCCGAGTGGAGATTTGGCTCTTGCACAACCCTGCTCATTTATTGATGGGGCCTTCAAGTGGTAGATAAAACTCTGATGTAAGAGCTCACCAAATGGAGATTTGGATCTTGCTCGGCCTTGCTCATCTATTGATGAGGTCTTGGGGCAAGCTCGAGGAAAACACTGACGTAAGAGCTCACCAAATGGAGATTTGGATCTTGCTCGGCCCTGCTCATCTGTTGACGAGGTCTTGGGGCAAGCTCGAGGAAAACACTGACGTATGAGCTCACCAAATGGAGATTTGGATCTTGCTCGGCTCTGCTCATTTGTTGACGAGGTCTTGGGGCAAGTTGGAGGAAAACACTGATGTAAGAGCTCACCAAATGGAGATTTGGATCTTGCTCGGCCCTGCTCATCTATTGACGAGGTCTTGGGGCAAGCTCGAGTTATTCACGCCCTTGTTCTTCAAACTTTGATGTAGAATGTAGAATGTAGAATGTAGAACTCCCCTTATTTCTCCCCCTCCTTGTCTGAATTTATTCAGAGGAGCTTCTAACTTTTTGATAT